CCACCCCAGTCACCTCCCACCCATCCCCCAGCACATATAGGCCACTGGTATCTGAGTGCCCCTGCCTGCTGACTCCGGGTCAAACTCCAGCTGCACCTGCCACGCATCCTTCTCCAGGGCCAGCCAGGGTGGCAACTGAGAGCCAGGAAGTCAGCTAATCTGCACCCCCGCTGTCCCCTGCCTCGGCACTCCCACTAATGAGCGCTTGATGACCCCCATGACAGGCAGCACTTCGATTAGATGCTATCGGTATCCCACCTGGGTGACCTCATTAGGGGCCCTGGGGCAACCTTGTCATTCAGATCGGCAAAGGACGGGCGAAGATAAGCCAAGAGCCACACGGTTCTAATATTAATAACAGCATCATTAAGTGCTGACTATGCAGCCGCTGATGTGTGCAAGGCCCTGAGCGGAGCATTTTATGGGCACGGCGGGAACCCGCAGGGTAACGGTCAGGGGCACTGTCTCTGGGCCAACCCTGCCAGCTGCTAACCTCTGCCCTATGCTTGCTAAGCCCATGACTCCACCTGCCACGTCAGTCTCATCTGTGAGACAGGGCAGTGAGATCACCTGCCCCCCCACGTGCTTACGTTTCCCAGCTGAGCGGAAAGTAAACCAACAGCTACTTCCAAGGGCAGAGCTGGGCGCTGGCACCCCCACCCCACCCACTCTGTCCCCAGGAGCAGGGGCCTGCACGACCAAGGGGCTTCCGGCATAGAGCAGCATGTTCAAGTCGGGGTGCAGGGCTGAACTTCAAGACACAGAGGGAGAGCCCCCTCTGCATACAAGCGAGGCCCCCCTGCTGCACACAAGCTGAACATGGGGCATGCAGGGAAGAACTGGGACTGCATGGTGGGGCGGGAGGTGCCCCTACCTCCCAGGGCGGCTCTGCGGGAAGGCCCTGTTCATACCCTCATACTCTGGAGGCCAAGGTTACAGAAAAACTGATGCGTTCAGATTCAAAGCCAGGGCCACAGGGCTCCCCAGCCCTGCTCTTAGGCGCTCCACGAGAGGAGCCACTGAGAAACTGAGTTCTGGCCAGGGAGAGGTGCCCCTCCCCCCATGCCCCCAGCCAGAGCCAGGGAGGCAGGAAGCATGAGGGCGTGTGGGCCCACGGAAGTCACTTGTCCATGACTCCTGGCAGGCCATCACCGTGGTGATCCAGTGACCGTTGCCCGGAGGGGGGGGGGGGGACACGGCCCCAGGTTCAGCTCCAGGTTCTGCCAAGAATGCATCCTGTGCTCAGGGCAGCTGCTTTCTCTCCCCGAGCCGTCCCCACAGCAGAAGGGAGAGGCACCCCTCCTCCAGGTGAGGAAGGATTCAAGGATGGAGCCCAGGGCATGGCCCCGCACCGGGAGATGCCCCTGCACCTGCCAGTCAGAAACGAGCAGCTGACCCAGCCCCAGGAGCGACCTTTACTCATCCCCCCATACGACACTGTGCATTGGCCACGCGAGTCTGGGAGACAGGTCACTCAGGCCTGGTCACCAGGCAGTGGGTCCCCATGTCCCCACAGATCACCCTCTGGCTGGGGACTGGCTTCGTTCCACAGGGATACAGGAGGGAGCAGGGAGGGGCCCTCTGGCAGAGCTGTGGACACTGCCCAAATCCTGGGGAGGACCACGGGCTGGCAGTGGACTTACCTGCCATAGAACAAGATGGTTTCAGGCTTGATGGCTCCATCCAGGTGGACGTGGAGTTCCACCTGCAAGAGGGCAGAGGGAAAAGAGAGAAATATCCATGAGTGCCCGAGCATGTCAGAGTGTCAGAGTGTCAGAGCATGGAGGCTAACGCTCACCACGGCAACCTGCCCACCGTTCCCCATTCGCACCACACACTCTTCACACGGGCCCAGGGGTCAAGCCCTCACCTGTGGGGTCGGCTCAGTGGAGATCTCTACCTCTTTCACAGTAGAGGACCCTGGGGCTCAGAGAGGTTAACTGTCTTGTCCAAGGCCAAACAGTAAACAGGTAACGGAAGCAGGACTCCATCCTAGGGTATGTGTTCCTAACCACAGCTGGGGAGTGGCCGGAAGAGAATTCTAACCCAGGCCCCACCCCGAAGCTTGTGTCTCAACCATGAGGCAGCCAGGGGCCTACAAGAACTGCTGAGCCCAGGCCACCACAGACAGCTCCCATACTCAGCCATTTTACTGAACCAAACCCAACTTTTTTCAAAGTGTTTTTTTTTTTTTTTAAGTTATATGTATTTGAAAGAGAGATGTCTTCCAACTGTTGGTTCACTCCATAAATGTCCACAACAGCCAGGGCTGGGCCAGGCCAAAGCCAGGGACCAGGAACTCCATCTGGGTCTCCCACGTGGGCAGCAGGGACCCAAGTGCCTGAACCATCAACTGCTGCCTCCCCAGGTGGGCAGCGGCAGGAAGCTGGTTTGGAAGTGGAGGGGGGACTCCATCCCAGGTGCTGGACATGGGAAGCAGGCGTCCCCTGGCAGCAGCCCAGCCCCTGTGCCACAGAGTCTGCCGACCGCCAGTCTAACTTTCAAAGCATGGGCTGACCACAGACTTTCTGGGCAGGGGGACTCCGAGGGCACTTCCAGCTCCGCCTTCGCCAGCAGGTGCCACGGAAGCACGGCTCATCTTTCCAGCACACTAGGGAGGGCACCCGTCCTCGGCCTCCTGTGGTCGCCTGCCCCGTGCTGAGCCGTACCTGGGATGCCTGCACGTCACCAGCTGTCAGAGCAGACAGCCCATCTGACTTGGCTCCCAGCTCTGCCCGTGCAATCTCAGACCAGACACGACCTCTCCAAGTCTCAGTGTCCTCAACTGAAAAACTAGAATTTTTGGCCTCCTTGACCAAAAAGGAATTTTAAGGAATAAAAAAAAAAATCAGGGTGGGGTGGGCACCTGGCCCAGCAGTTAAGCCATGGTTGGGACTCCTGCACCCCTCCTCAGAGTGCCTGGGTCCGAGTCGCAGCTCTGCTCCGGATTCCAGCCTCCTGCTGATGCGCACCCTGGGAGGTGGCAGGTGATGGCACAAGGGTTTGGATCCCTGTCACCTTCGCAGGAGACCCAGAGTAAGTTCCGATCTCCCGACTTCAGCCTGCCCCTGCCCCAGTTACTGCAACTATTGTGGGTATTTGGGGAGTAAAACCAGCAGATGGAAGTTCTGTCTTTGTCTCTCAAAAATAAAAATTTAGAAAGAAAATGCAGGTGCACACCTGTGGCCTCAGGAAAGCAGCCGGTAGGGAAAGCCCAACAGGCACTAGAGACAGTGAGAAAAGGGTTGGGCCTTTTGCCTGTTACAGATCATGAACTTTTTGCAGGCCAGAGGGAGAGCCAGAACACCCTGAACTTGGAGACCTAGACGAGGAGTGGCGGCCCCAGCCAGGGAGAGGGCAGCCAGGAGGCTGCTGGCCCCAGAGCATCCTCCAGGCGACACAAGCTACTCCCGCAGAGGAAGCCCGGCCCTCCCACCCGCTGCTCTCTCGAGTCCTCCAGCTGCCCAGGGCCAGGGCAGAGCATGCACCCGGGTCTGGGGCCAATGTAGTTTTTGGGTCCCCTGACAGAATGAGTTCAATTCCCACTCCGCTAAAGGTTAATTGGGTTCTCAAAATACACTCAGCATTAGCAACGCTGGCGCCCAGCCCAGGGAACGCCACCCAGCTGGGCGACCTCCGGCAAGTGACCTCACCTCTCTGAGCCTCCAGCTGCTCAGCCTTAACCCCCTCAGGGCTGGAATCCCGCAACTGCATTCACTCCCTGGATGACCTCAAGGGAGTCACTCTTTTTCTGTGCCTCAGTATTCTCACCTGTCAATGGGGAGAACAGCATACCTTCCTCCCAAGACCTCGTGGAGGTCCACCACGTAATGTATATGGCGTACTCGGCACACAGATGCTAAACAAGACTTTCCATTTGACCCAAAAAAATTATATATACACACACATATATACACACACATACATATTGGGCACCTGCTGAGTGCTAGGGATGCAGAGCTAAGCAAAAGGAACAAAGTCCATTCCCGTGGCACCTACTGTCGAGCTGGGTGAGAGGCGTCAGCCAATGTTGGATCAGCAGATGTACAGTCTGCCAAAGAGGGTACAAGACAAGAGAATGGAACCCAACCAACAGACCCGCAGGGCTTCCCAGAGAAGGCAGAGCTCAGGCTACAATCTGAAGGAGGAGGAAGACAGCACAACCAGGCAAGGGTGAGGAGGGAGGCAGGTAGAACATTCCAGGAGGCAGAACAGCATGTGCAAAAGCTGAGTGGCAGGAGACAGGGGTGTGGGGGTGGGGAGGAACTGGAGCGTGAGTTCAGAGAAGAGAGGGGGGTCCTGAGCCTGGGGAGGCTGCGAGGCAGGACCACCCAGACAAACCTTTGCAGCCTCAAGGAGCCAGACTTGAGCCTGAGCACACAGAAAAGCCGTTCCAGGGTGTGGAGCAGGTGAGAGAGATGACTCATAGCGAGACAGGTTCGAGGGTGCCGCCGCCATGTGTGAGAGAGAGGACCGTGGCTTGGACCAGGCACAGGAAGTGGGTGAAGGGCAAGCAGGTGGGCAGGAGGTGGTGAGGCTAGCACTTCAGGCTTGGCCCGGGTGGGAGCGGTTCCCACCAGCTGAGACAGCCCCAGGAGAGGGATTAGCGTGGGGTGCGGATGGGGGAGCGAGGTCTCAGTGATGTTGACCAGAAAGACCCAGCAGAAATGGAAGGAGGCAGTGGGATGCCAGCGTCAGCAAGCAGGACGTGGAAGGCGACAGCTGTGTGGTCTTGAATGAGTCACCGAGGGAGGAAGCGTCCAGGGAGGGGAGGAAGGGACCAGGGGCGAAGCTGTGCCAGCACCACACTTGGTGGCTCTGACAGAGGTGGCAGGAGCAGCGCCGTGGTACGCAGGAAGCCAGGCCATCAGCGGGCAAGGAACAGCAGCAGTCCACTGGCTGGCGTGGGGGGCTGGGCCGTGAACCCCGAAAGCTCCCTCTAGCCCCTGGAACCTGGGAATATCACTTTCTATGGCAAAGGCCTCCTGTCAAACACCTGGGAGGGAGCACACCTCGGGGGTCCTCCGCGTCACAGGTGTCCTTCTCAGACGGGGACAGACACCCTTGGAGGCAGCGCAGCAGCGATGGCGCCGCGAGCTCCGCAGTGCCCCATGCCGCCAGCAGCTGCGAGAAGCCAGCGACGGACTCTGGCCCGGGCCTCGGGTGGGCTCGCGGCCCTGCTGGCACCTTGGTCTCCTCCAGAACGTGGAGGGAATGGGCGCCTGAAGCCTGAAGCCTCCCCGCGGGTGGTAATGACCACATCACCACAGGAAGCGCACAGAGGGGCCCTGCTGGAGGTCAAGGGCAGCCAAGCAAAACCCCCGCCATCAGTCAAGAACCCAGGCCCAGGGACCTGGGAGGAGTGGATCTGCCAGGGAATGCTGCCCCCACCCCAGCTCTGGGAGTGGTCCAGGCAGGGTATTTTTTAAGCCTGCCTTTTTGTTGTGCACTCAAGGTTGAAAACCCACCCTAGAGGAAGCACCTGGAGGCTACCACAGTGGTGGAGGGGGTGGGAGGCACAGTCCCTTGGGGATAAGCTGCAGGTGAGGGCGGCCCTGCAGGGAGCCTGGTGGAGAGAGGGGTCCACAGGAGGTGCGGCAGGAGGGCCGGGCGTGTGGAGGCTCACAGGGAGGGGCTGGTTGAGAGAGAAGTGTTGCACCAGGTTACTAGGAAGGGAGGGAGGGAGTTTAGAGACAAAACCAGGAGCCCTGAAGAGCAGAAAACCAGGCAGCGGATCATGTTGGCAGTCACTAGGGGCTGTGGCATTCTTATGCGCACGGTCTGCCTGGCTACTTCGGGCTGAAGCGTTCCAATGCCAAGGCCAGGCCCCCAGAGCCCTCTCTCCCCAGGCAATGCAGCACAGCGAGGGACCAGCGTGTGAGCAGGGCTCCGGGCCCCTCCACTTAGCAGGGCCAGATGTCACCACAGCACAGGCCGGCCTCTCGTGCCGGTCCATGAACAAACACCTTTCGGAGCTCAGTGTGCCCCCGAGGGGTGGGGCGAGAAGCAGACGAAGATACAGGAGGCGGGATGCAGAAGGAGTTTGCGTTAGAGAGCGGGGATGCAGCAGGAGGAGCGGAGGGCGGTTCAAGGCGGGGGAACCGTGCTGGCCAAGTGTTTGCAGCAGGAATCAGCCAGGAACAGAGGATGCGGTTAAGGGCGAGGATGGAGCAGAGAGGAGCAGGGAGATGCAGGCCACGTTTCTCCGGCTTTCCATGGAAGCACAATGCACGGGGAGCTGCCTCAGAATCAACTTTCCCAGCCGTGGTGCGGGTGCAGGCTGGAGGGAAACCAGGACAGAAGGTGGAGGCTGCGGGCGGTGCAGATGGGCAACGAGGACCGAGGGGGAGGCCTTGCCGGGCTCCAGACACAGGGGCTGCCCCGTGCCTGGACAGAGGCGCTCAGAGTGCCCGGCAGGGGACAGCCCCTCCAGGAAGAGCATCTCGGCAGAGTCAGCGTGGCCGCCAGGACCTGCAGCTCTTCGCCCCGGGCCGCTGGGAAAGCTGCCCAGACACGCTTCAGGGGAGGAGCCAAGGCGAGAGCCAACTCCGCAGGAGGCCTCCCAGGGGACTTTCCAGGAAGCTGCAGCAGCCATGGAGGAGCTGCTGCACCCCGACGATCGAGGGGTGTGGGGGGAGGGGGACCCTGCGCTCCTGGCACTGTTGGGGGGTTGGAGGAGGAGGGGAGGGTGGGAAGGGGCTGTCT